GGAGGTTCTTGGGAAATAAAAAGTTATCTCTTCCCAAACTCTCTACTTGCCCACCCCCAATTTTAATACCCTCAAAGGTGCAGTTGATGATGGTACATCAAGTCTCCATGTGTCTTCAAGTATCCAAGAAGCCTTCTCAGCCCTAAACTATTCTAGTCTCAGGCTCCCTACCTAGACTAGCCTTATAAAAGCTTCAGATCTCTTTAAAAAACAAACATTTCTTGGCTTTTTATAATCTGAATTTTGGCCCCAAAATGTTTCTTCCCTTTATAGCATTTCTATGAAACTGCCTCCTGAAATATCATTCATATATTTTCTAAACTATGTATTTTCTTAGAACCAATTAATGATGTTAAGTGGAGTATGCCTATTTAGTTTTCAATGTTTTTGCACACATTATTTCATTTGATCTTCACCACAACCCCAGGCATAGCAGATGTCACTTTATTGATGAAGAAATTGAGGTTCAAAGAGCTCATTTGACCTTAGCAAAAAAGATGAGGCTAGAGCTTAGATTTTCTGATTCCTAAGTGTTTTTGTCTACCATGTGCTGCTTCCATGTAATCACAGAATTACAAAAATTCAAAATTGGAAGGGACCTTCAGCAGAAATTTAGGTTAACTTATGCCCCAAAAGAATATCCTCTACAAAATATTTGACCCTAGAGGCTTTGCCGAAAGTCCAATGATGAAGAATCCACTATCATTTGAGAAAGGCTGTTCCATTAAGTTTTCCCTTATATGCAGACTAAATCTACCTCTTTGCAACTTGTATTCATTGCTCCTAGTTTGACTGGCTAGGGCCAAACAGAATAGATCTAATTCTTCTTCTATATGAAATCCTTTCAAGTACTTGAAGACAGCTATTATTTTTACCCTGAATTTTTTCATCGCCAGGTTAAATGTCCCTAGTTCCTTTAAGAGATTCTTTATGTTGCATGAACTCTAGGCTTTTACTATTTACTCTTTATTATTCTGGCTACTCTCATCTACATGTCCTCTAGTAAAGTTTATCAGAGTTCTTCCTAAATAATGTTATCTAGAAATGAATTAACTTCTGCAGAAGTGTTCTGACCAAGCCAGAGTATAGAGGTACTATTGTCTCCTCTCTAAAGGCAGCTCAAGATTGCATTAACTTTTCTGACTGCCTTATCACATTGTTGATTCATATAATTAAAACACCCCAATTTTTTCAGATTGCTGTATAACCACATCTTTTTGAGTTTTGAATCAAACTGTAAAATGTTATATTCATCCATATTAAATTTTCTCTCATTAGATTCAGCCCAAGATTCTTGCCTCTCCAAGAAAAGACTGTGTGTCTTGACTCTGTCATGTAGCATATTAACTAACCCTCCTGGCTTTGTGTCATCAGCAAATTTCATAAGCATGCCATCTATGCACTTGTCCAGATTATTGATAAAAATGTTAAACAGCAAAGGGCCAAGCACAGACCCCTGGGTCACCTACTTCATATTGACACTGAACCATTAATGACATAAATCTAATCATTCAACTAATTCCTTCTATTTGTGCTCTTGTCTAGCCCACGTTACTATCTTTCCCACAAGAATAGTATGAGACACTTTATCACTTTGCTACAATCTAAGTACATTATATTTACAACCTTCTTCTGATCTAACCATTTATTAACTCAATTGAAAAGAGAAGTAATTAATCTGAAATGATGTATTTTTGACAAAACCATGCTAACTCTTTGAAATCATTGCTGCCTCATGTGAACAAAGGAGGTAGGGATAGGAAAGGTTTTGAACCACATCTTGGGCAGATAGGGAAAGAAAAGGGACAAAATCAAAGAAATTGATTTAAATAAAATCAAGGAGCTTGGGTTAAGGCATATAATTAATCAGTGAGAGATAAGGAGTATGGGAATAGACTAGCATCAAAGTAGTATAAGAAAAGCCCCAATCACAGAGATGAAAGATATTGACTTAAAATAAGAGGAAAATTCATACAAAAGACATAAATGGAGAAAAACATAACCTTAAAAAGAAAGAAATGCTTGTTTCCTTTTTCAGAGTCCACTATTTCTTTACTAATGTATAATCCCAGCAATTAAAGTCAAGTTCACTGGCTCACGGTTTACAGATTCTGTGCTCTGCTTTTTTGAACATTGAAACAGTATTTGCTCGTCTCTGGTCCTGTGGTAACTTTCCTGTTCTCCAAGATCTTTTAAATGCCCCTATGACTCAGCAATCACATCAGTGACATAGCCTGCAATAACCACAGATGAAGTTCATCCTGACCAGGTGACTGTTGTTCAGTAAGCTAGGTGCTTTCCACCTTATTTTGATTATCTTATTATTTTGATTATCAGCACCCTGTTGGTCATTTTGACTTTGTCCTCAGTCCAAAGCTGGTCTCCTTGACAGAGAAACAGAAGTAAAACAAAAACTAAATAACAGTCCCCTTTGTCTCTGTTATCAGTTATCTTTGCCCTATCTACCTCAGGCAGCAACCTTGTTCCTTTCTTGGAGCCTCTTTTTCTTCTGAAATATGATTTATTTTTAAAGCTTTTTATTGGCCTTAACGTTTCATTCTTATCTTAGCTAACTTAGAGCTTTAGAACTTCTGACAGTATTCTGTAACAGTATTACTCCGTTGTTTTATTATCATTATCATTATTATTATTATTATTATTATTATTATTATTAATCTTCTATTATCTGCCCTTGCTTTCTTCTGGACATATATTTTAAAAACCTGAGTTGATTTGGTGAGGTCCCTCCATATCAATGTACTCTTCAGATGACTCCATCTTTTCTTCCTTACTGGAATTTACCTTTTGTGTCTCCAGAATTTAGGTTCTCCTATCATTCTTCTCCTGGCTTTTCCTGTAGAATTTAATCCATGGGATCTATTCTTTCTCTCAAGCATTTGAAATATGCTTTCTCAAGATCCAGGATGCCTTTTTGCCTTTCCTTTTCTCTTCCACAAACTCTAGAAGAGAGTGATCACCTCCCCAAAGTTCCCATCATTTCTACTCTTTGTTGGAGAGTATTGGATTCAAAATAGAATTTTTCATTAGTCCTTCTCCTTTAATACATCAAGAAATTCTGACCTGCTCTTTTCCTTTTGGCAGAAAGAGCAACTCAGCAGATTAAAAGGAAATATAGTTTCTCATCACTACTCTATCATTATTCTTTTCTGGACTTGAGATGTTTCCCAAACTCCTTATCTATTTCTTTTTTCTGTCTAGGGGGTCTGTAGTAGACTCCAGTGAAAAAATTTCATCCATTTTTCCCTCCATTGACCTTCACCCAGATGTTTTCCATTGATGCTTTCTCCTTCTGATTCCCAGGCTAATGAGAATTTATAATGATTATTTTTGCACAGCTACCCCCAGGGTAGATTAAAAGGATAATATTCTAGTTCATTTACTCTAAGTTGCTTTGGAGTAGATGAATATTGTGTTTTATATGTCTTCTTTCCATAAGTGAATTTCCCTCGGGCTCTAAGTAGGTATAGAACTTTATTAAGCTTGGGGAACTTCTAAGACCAAGTCATTTACCCTCTCTCAGCCTCAGTTTTTTTCTCTGAAAAATGAAGAGATTTGAACTTTATGGCCTCTAAGGCCCTTTCCAAAGCTAAGTCTATGATCCTAATTATAATAATAATGGTAGAGAGTTTTAAAGTTTGCAAAGTGCTTTATATTATCTGATTTAACCCTTACACAATCCTGTGAGGTATGTGATATTAATGTCCCCATTTTATAAATGAGCAAAGTGAAATAAGAGAAATCCAATGATTTATTTACAGCCTCACAGTTAATAAATATCTGAGGCAAGATTTGAACCCACGTCTTCCCAACTCCCAGATCCAGTGGGAACATTCATTAGGCTTCATTGCTTTATTCAGTTACCTAAGTCTAGACACCATATTTGCTTACTTGTAGTTACTAAGTTATCTCTGAAGCCTGAGTTTAGATTTTTTATAAATAGTGTAAATTGGACAAAATCCTTCATCTTAAAATGACAAAGGAAATAGTCTTTTCTGTTTCTAGAAGGCATCTACTGAAGATCCCTTCAATAGAACGCAGCCAGAGTAAAACAGAGGTTTATAAAATTATCTTCATTATTTATACAATAGCCTTGTGAGATTTTTTGGCTGAATTTTGTGTACAGTCACTTTAGCCCTCTATGTTGTCTGGGAATACTTGTATTAAGGGTGTTTGATAAATTCTAATTACTAGGAGACTAAGCTTTAAATAGTATTCCAGAGGGTGGATAAACTTCATAGATGGAGCCAAATCATATTCTAAATTTTGGCCAAACAAAGAAAAAAAATTATACACCAAGAAAACAAAAGTCTGAAGGAAATCTGGATGAGACAAGATTGTTATAGTCAATAAAAATGAACAAAGACTTGAGAATGAGAAGTTAACCTTAATGACAGATGGTACAAGTTCATGACATTTGCCTAATGGCATTTTGAAAAGGAATATCAAGATGCCAGGTCCCGAGAGCTTTCATTTTAACGTTCTTGGATGATAGTAGAATGCCAGCATCTTGAGGAAAGAACAGAGCTATCACACTCATGACAGATATCCCCTAGAATTGTAAACTGTGGGAATGTGGACTTCTTGTTTATTGTATTATAGCTATGCTAATTTCACCAAGTCAATACCCCTTTTAAAAATAGAGATATATCATAAAAGTTAATGTATTAAGAAATTTATTTTAGTGAGTCAGTAATTCTAGAGCCCCAACAGTATGTCAAAAATTACCGCCTCATTAATTTTTTTTAGTTACAAAAAAAAACCCAACAAACAAACTGGGGCAGTGAGGTGGTGCAGTGGATAGAGCACCGGCCCTGGAGTCAGGAGGACCTGAGTTCAAATGTGGCCTCAGACACATAACACTCACTAGCTTTGTGACTCAGGGCAAGTCATTTAACCCCAACTGTTTCACCAAAAAAAACCCCCCAAAAACAAAAAGCCCAGAACCCTGTAAGTTTAATATTACCAATATGCTGTTTCAGGGTGTCACCTCATCTTACTTTACAAGCCTTGAGGGAGCAGCTGGGTGAGTTCCTGGGTGAAGAGGCTGTTGCAGAAAAATTTTTATTTTTGAAATGCATAGGAAACAATTTAGCTGTGGTAAGTTATTTTCCAGTGTTTTTATTCTTTCACTTTAAAAACCTCTACGCTTTTAAAAAACCACATGTTCTAATTTCTTCTCTACACAACTTCTTAATCTACAACTGGAATTGTACTTGACATACAACTAGAACTATAGAGATAACTTATGGATTTGAAATATCGCTAAGAAATTGTATGAATAAGGAAGATTTGGTTATTCCCACTTTTCCATTGTTAGGGAACAAGAGCACAGCATGTGGATGTGTGTGTGGATGTGTGTGTGTGTGTGTGTGTGTGTGAGTGTGTGTGAATGTGTGAGTGTATGTGTTTGTACATGTGTGAGTGTATATGTGTGTGCGTATCTATGTGTATATGAATTTCCTTATAAATAAAAAGAAGACATGAATCATCTTATGATGATGATTTTTCTGAGCAGAGACTATGATTTTCAGAGTTTTTGAAAGTCAAGTATTTCAGCTGTAGAAAGAAATGTTTTTCTGCCTGGGCCAGCACGTTGCTGAGTGGAGCTCGAGTGCAGCACAGATCCAGCGAGTCCATTTGTCTAGAAACAGGAACATCAGCTGTTCCTAGAACGGGCCTTGGGGACAGCAAACCTGACCCGCTCAGTTTGCAGGTGAAGAGGCTGAGGGAGGTTAAATTTGCCCTTCTGGTCTCTGACGGTGCCTAACAGAACCAGAAGTTGGAACTGGGTGTGCTGACATCATCTCCAATGCTTTTCCTATCTGTTGAATCACTGCAGTAAAGAGTTGAGAGACAAAGGCTAGAAACAGAACATCATAGACTCATCACAACATTGCAGTTAGAAATGGAAAGAACCTTAGACATCATCTAATTTAGCTCCCCTCATTTTATAGATGAGGAAACTAAAAAAGTTAAATTACTAATGGTAGTTTACATTGATAAGTAAGTGGCAAAGGTGGGTTTGAACCCAGAGTCTCTTCAGTCCCTTCACTTTATAGATTAAGAAATTCAAGTGTAGAAAGAGTAAGTTACTTGACCAAATTTCTATAGGTAGTAAATAATACAGCCAAGATTCACACTGTCTTTTAACTCCAAATCTTTTACTCTTTCCACTAATGTAACCTTGTATCTCCTACCCTAAGCCCGTAACTCCCCATCCCCAATAACACTGCAAACAGGAAAAAAGATTCAGACAGGCTAATGGGGAAAAAGCCTTTCATTTTTAGATAGAAAAAAGAAAAGAAAAGCACTCCTGAGTCCTGAGAAACAGGACAAAGTGCCTTGACAAAATCAGGCCTGATTTTCTTAAGCTTCCCTTCCAGGCTCTCTTTAGAGCTGAGCCTCCCTTCTGCTGTCTGGGACCATCTCATTCCTTGTTAGTTGTCTTTAGGAAGTTGGAGAGGCTTTCTTGCTACCCAGCTGTTGTCATAGATTGAAGGCTATCATACCTAGAATTTTTAATCAAGTATTTCTGTCAGATTTCTGGCCCCCTGCCAGGAATGGACTCTGTCCCCATTTCTATCTCCTAAAATCTTTAACTTTCTTCAAAGCTCAGTTTGAATATCACCTTTTTGTACATGAGGCCTTTCCTGATCCTCCCAGTTGCTAATACCTCCCCCCTTCCTTATGTTATCTTATATTTACTATGCATATATTTTTATACACATGTATGTACTCCATCTACTGGACTTCCCCCACCTTTTCCCCAACTCTTGGCTGGATCCCTGAATATACTAGGTTCAAGGTCCTCCATGGGTCTGTTATACTCTTAAAACTATAGCTCACAAGTTCTCACTAATGTGTTCTCTTTGCATAATTATTCAGAGTTAAGTCAATTCATAAGCATTTACTAAGATCCTACTTGTGTCAGGCATAGCTATCTTGAAGCAAGGACATTTGCTAATTTAGCCTTGAGTTGGCATCAGTTTAGAGATGAGAGATATTTCCTCAGAATTAACCGATACTGAAATTATGGAACTGAGAAGAATGTGGAACTTAGAGAATTCTGTAGGGGAAAACACCAAAAAGAGAAGTGTAAGAAAGTAAGCTCAGAGTTTGTGTGGCATGGGGGTTGATGCTCAGTGCCTAGGCATTTTGCCCCTTCCCCTCCAAACTCTTTCCAAGTCACTGAATTGTAGCTGCTGAGGCTAATGAGGGATGTCTGCTGTGCTGATAAAGACAACAATTAGGCACTCCTTGGAGACATTACCTTTCTCCCCTGCCTCTGGGTTGGGGAAAAATTACACTGCTGACTTATCAACTGCTCCGCGGTTTTTCTCTCTTCTTTCCTGTGAGGGGGAAGGAGGATAAACAAAAAGGCCATTTTCTGTTCCTGTATTCAGGAAGCATCCTGCCTGTAGTAGAACCTGGTGCTAACTAACATTGCATCCAAAAAATGACTTCTTTTTCAGTATTTGCTTTCTCCTCTGTGATTGTGTTGTCTATTCTCTTTTATATGAAAGAAATTAGCCACTACCCCCTTGATACATAATTAATCCTAGTGACACGTTGAGGCTGGCGAAACTGGTTGGTCTGGGAAAATTGGAAGACCCATCCGGCCCCTCGTAAGAGGCATGTGTAAAGGGGAAAGTAATGTTTTCTGCCATCAGATAGCAAAGACATTTTCTGTCACTCTGCAGTCTTACTTGTTGGGCATCTCAAAACTGATTTGCTGGAAAGAGTGTAAAAAAGTATTTCTAACCTGAAGTAAATGAAAAATCCCCCAGATGAGAGATGTCCCTCAAGCCAGTCCAGGGCAGAGGGAGAGAAGTGGTTGCCTTTTGTATACACTATGTAAATTCCTATTTGGATTTCTTTATTGGTATTCACGTTGTTTCTTCCCTACACCTACTTCTTCTTTCAGCAGCTCACTGGTTGGTGAGGGACTCCTCTAAACCCCCTTTTTATCATCTCTGTTCCAACAGTTTGTTAAATTTGTATCCCTGTAGTATATGTGAAGGCAACCTCTCAGGGAGTTTTATTACTCTCCCAAGCTGAGTGAAACCTTAAATTTCCATACATCCAGGAAAGAGACCCTAATCCATATTAAATGTTTATGGGGGCTTGAGCAAAATGGTCCAAGTGAGGCAGTTTCTTGGCTTTACTTTCAGGCAGTGCCAGGTGTCTGAGCACGGGAGCATAAATAGCTTTTCCATGTAGATTACTTCCCTCTGTTTTGCAGGGCAGTACTGCAGGGAAGTTGCTCAGTTAACATGGTTAAGTTGTGTCTTTCTCCAGCTCAGAGGTAATGGCAACTTCAGTTCAGTGGTTTGCCATTGTAGTCTCTAAAGGAAAGGGCTGGTTGGGGGCAGAACAGGGCCAGTGTCTTCCCACACATCACAGAAGGGGGATGACATGCTCTCCTCCTTCCAGCACTTCTCTCCCAGGATTCCATGAGCTTACAATCCCTCAGGTCCACAATGTCAGTGGGAAGAGTGGACATGGTTCGAGTTCCCAGGACACACACATTGAGCATATATGTGGCCAAAGCATGTCACATCATGTTATTTCTAGGCCTCCTAGGTCTGCTTGTGGTATCCCTATGGTTCCATTTGCAATATGGTATCCACAAGGCCATTTGGGTCTCTTCCTGGCTGGGATGCTTTCCACTGATACTAAGCTATGGTCTGGGGTGTAGGGTGTGTTCAGGGAAGACTAGTGCCTCTGGTATGAGGACTGCTGAGCTCTTTGCAAGGCTGCTTTCCACCACTGGTGTCTACCTGATCCACCTAACTCTCACCTGTGACTTCCAGAAACTATAGCACATACAATGACCACACTCTGGTAAACTGTTTCAGAGATGGCTAAACCAAGTTGAGGGTACCCAAGGGGTCTCAGACCCATTGGTGAGTTGGGGGGGGGTGTCTACCCTGAGCATGTAAAGACTTCCCCTGGTGGAATGGGCAGATTAGAACAATTTGTTCCAACAGCCATGAAGGCAGCTGAATCAGGCGCCATGGAGCACTTAGAGTGTGGTTGGACATCAAAGACACCAACATCCAGTGCATCTCGAGCCATCACCAGTCATCTTGACTCTGCCCTGCCACTAGACTGTTACAGCTCTGGAGGAGAGAGCGAGGCCAATGACTTTGTGCAACTCTGCCTTACTTAAATCCAATTTGTGCATGAATCAAAAGACATCACCCATGCCATTTTACCATTTTTACCCATCTCTAAGTCCTGTGGTGACAGGCAGGTGACAAAGCAGTGGGTACAGATACACTGGGAGCTGTAGTCACACCCTTGCATACAGGCAGCCCAGGCCAGCAGGGCATCTTCTCATTGGAAGCAGCAATGGGATGCGGCAGCCCCCTGGGGGTCAGAGCAGCCTTTTAAGAACCACACTGTTCACTTCCTGGTGTGAGGAAGGGGCTAGAAAATGTGCCCTAAAAGTTGTCTGCTTACCCAACCCTGGCCTGTTAACCACAGCAGGAGGAGATCTCACCTTGTGTCAAAACACACACAAAAAAATGTGCAGAAACTTCTGCAAAGATGATTCTGCTCATCATTGGAGAAACGTGGATTGTGTGCACTTATGGACAACACGAAGTCCAGTAGACTTGAAAGATGAAGAGCTGTTGTGAGGGAACTCAGCACGTTCTGCATCCAAATGGTAGCCTCAAGTGAAACAAGGCTGGCAAATGAAGGCCAGCTTACCAAAGTCGGAGCTGGATGCACGTTTTTTTCTGGAGTGGCTGCAGTGAAGGGGAGCGCCATGAAGCTGGCATATGTTTTGCAATCAAAAGTAATCTAGCCAACAAGCTTGTGTGCCTACCAAAAGGAATGAATGACAGGCTCATGACAATGCAGTTGCCACTTGCAGGAAAGCAGATGAGGTCAAACAAAAATTGTATGAAGACCTGGAGACCCTCATCATCAATGTGCCAAAAGAGGACAAGCCCGTAATTCTAGGTGACTTTAATAGTAGAGTAGGCTCAGACTACCAGACATGACAGGGAGTCCTTGGGAGGAATGGAGCTGGAAACAGCAGCAGCAATGGTCACTTACTACTGAAGACTTGTGCATAGCATGACCTTATCACCAACACTGTCTTCCATTTGGCTAAATGCAATAAAACTTTGTGGAGGCACCCTTGCAGCAAACATTGGCATTTAATAGACTATGTCGTTGTGAGAAGAGACAAATAGGAGATGAGCGTGAAGAAGACAATGTGTGGAGCAGAGTACTGGAATGATCATAGACTTATCCTCTCCATGCTAAATATTTGCATTTAACAAAAGCCAAGGCCCTAAGGAAAGATGACTACCAGGAGACTTAATGTAACAGATGAGAGCGCTTCTCCAAGTGTAAACATTTTGTTGCTAACTTGGAAGGAAAGCTAAGCCAGGGCCTTCTCTTCTAAGGTTATTTTACATTTACAGTTATCTGTTCCACATCAGGGGGTGGGAGGAGGGGGGTGTTAGGGTCACGGCACCCATGCAATTTGGAAAATCTGTATAAAATTTTTTGGCCTTCCCTTTGTACCAGAGAAGAAGTCTGAATTTTTTTTCTTTTTCTTTTATAGGGTGTTTACAGTACCTTATTGTGAAATTTGGGTTAAATATTTGGTCATAGGTTTTACAACCCTATACATATATTTCATGTATTTCTGAATTTCTAAACTTTTTCTGTGTTGTCTGCCGGCCATTGCATGTTGTCTGCCTCTCCTGCAAAACTCCTCCAAAATTCCCATTTAATTTCTTATGCCAACCCGCCATATACCAAAACATGGGTGACCAGGGCCCATGCATGGAATTGCAGCTCATGCTGCTGATGCTAAAACTAACGCGTTGCTCTGGTTTCGTGGGCTGGGCAGGACTCTTTCCTCTCAGACTCATGGGTTTCCACTTAGTGTTTCTGCTTCTGTGCTATACTGTCTGCTGTCATAGGCCAAATCCACAGCTCTCTCTAACTCTTTTAGCTTGGGCTTCTTCCCATCCATTCTCCCCACTTGCCATTTATTTGGAAGAGTCAGAAAACACTTTGCTCTAAGATGCTCTAAGATGTTCTAGGGTGTCTTGTTCCCACAGATAAAAAAGTTATCAAATGCCCTTAGGATTTGTCTTTTCTTTGGACTTCTAATCCTGGTCTGGGTTTAGGCCCCAGCCAGGGACCTCACTTTGGTTTGTATTGACTATTCTATGTATTTCCCATTATCAGTCTTTGAAGACTAGGCTATAAACTAGACTAGGTGATGGTTATTTGCCTAATAATTCCCATGCTCCTGGAGGTTTCCCAATTTTTAAACTCTTTAAGTCTGTCCTGTTCTCATATGTAGATGAATGGGTAGAAAAAAATTAGAGACATAGCCACGCCCAGGATACCTAGTCATTGTTTCTGCTGCCAGCTCATATATGTCCTATCAGAGTCTGAAAGGTGCTTTGTCACACCAACAGTAAACTCCTCAAGGGCGGGGACTGTTTAATTTTGGGCTTTATATTCTTAGTGTCTAACATTTAATAGGTGTTTAATAAATGCTTGCTGATTGATTAATGGCAGGGCATATTATATATGTCTCACTTCCTTAGTCATAATTTTTCATTTTCACAGTTAACCGTCTAATAATAAAAGTACCCATTGTGACTATTACTTAAGGGGCAAAGTTATCTTCTTCTTTTCTTTCCCCACTCAAAATTAAATTCTTCTATAAACATACTTTATGAACATACTGATGAGATTTTCGGATTCTGCTTTCTTCACTCTGCATCAGTTCAGACAGCTTTTCTGAGTTTTCTGAAGCTCTCCATTTCATCCTTTCTTATAGCCTAGTAATATTCCATTAGAATATATTTGGCCGTTCCCTAACAGGTGGGCATCATCTTAGTTTCCTTTTTTCCCTACCAAAAGAACTATTATAAACACTACTTACACATATGTCCTTGTTTCTCTCTTTAATCTCTGTAGGATACATATCTTGTAGTGGTATCTCTGAACAAAAGACATACACGCATTTAGTGACTTTTTGGGGGTAGGCCCAAGTTGCTCTCCAGAATAGCTGGACCAATTCACAGTTTCACCAACAGTACATTCATGTGCCCATTTCCCCTCAAGTCTCACTAACATTTGGCATTTTCTTTTTTTGTCATCTTTTGCCAATCTCATGGGTGTGAGATAGAAACTCAAAGTTGCTTTACTTTGGATTTCTGTACTTATTAGCCATGTGAAACATTTTTTCACATGCTTAGATTTCTTTCTTTGAGACTATACTTTTGTTAGAACAAATTAATGCATACAGTCAGTGCCTGACGTATAGCAGACACTTAAATGCCTATTGAGAGAATGAATGAAAATCCCATTGCAGAATCCTGTGGTTATTTTTATTTTGGGCATAATACAGTCAAATGTATAAAGAAATGGTAATTATGTATACCTCTACTTAGTTGTTTCATATGTATTCACTCTAGGTTTTGGTACTGAGAGAAAGAAAATATAAAAAAAAAACTATTAAGATGATCACTGTTCAAATCTTTAACTAGGAATGATGAATGAAGAGTTAGTGAATTCTCTAGCTACATATACCAAACTATTTCTTTACTGTAACATTAAGTAAAACTATTCCCTTAGTCCCACCCTCTCTATTAGAACTCTCTTTTATTTTCACCAGTTGAGCTCTACTTAAGTATGTGAGAACTAACATTTGCATAATTGAAAGATGTATGAATTCAATTATATTTGATGCACTCAGATAATAAACTTGTCTTCTACAATGTCTTCCATCTAGTCTTGCTATTAGCTTTAAAATTCAGCATAGCTCTTTATATACTCTTTGCAAAGTTCAAAGTAAGTTAATGAGAAATCATGAAAGCCTTGGTTGATTTTTCATGTTTATGTTTTCAGGTGAAGACAAAGCAAGAAAAGGAACTGAAACTCAAGTCATTTGCTCCACCATTTGTATGTAACACACTTAGAAACTTTTATTTTAAAAAGAATTTTTAAAAAAGTTATTCTCATTAAATTGTTTCCTATATATTTTAGGCTCTTCAACCAGAATTATATTTGCTTCCCATAGTGGACCACTTAGGAAATATTTATTCATCATCATCGTCATCATCTACTGTGGGAGATATGCAGCAGAATAATGTTTCTGAGGATGATAAAGCTGCTCAGCAACTAGATAGTTGCAAAACTTCTTCAAGCCAGAAACCTGAAAAAGATCCAAGCCTTTTAGAACATATTACTAAAGTTCCTCCCCTCAGAAATCAGGAAGAAGGTGATTTCAACTGCTATGGGGAAAATAAAAGTTTATTATACCTTGTTAGGGCTGCAGTCCTAAAAGCAAGCCCGAAGCAAACCTAAGGCCCAGAAAAAGCTTGTCGTGTTGATAGAAAGATACAATTAATTTTGGAGCATCTTAGACCAGAGATGGGAACCTGTGGCCTCAAAGCCACATGTGGCCCTCTAGGTTCTCACGTTCGGCCCTTTGACTGAATCCAAAGTCACAGAACAGATCCCCTTAATAAAAGAATTGAAGTCAAAGAGTCACACTTGAGGACCTAGAGGGCCACTTGTAGCCTTGAATTCCCTACCTTTGTCTTAGATTGTTTTCATAAATACTCCAGGTAGGTAGGGGAAAAAGTAAATATAAGGTATTATAGCCAAGAATTACTAAAATTACCCCGGAATTATACATACATAGTATTTTTGTTTTTGAACACTAACATAATCTCAATTTTTTAGGAGGACATTGTTAAGGGAGATTGATTTTGAGAATTTTTCATAAATCTAAAGGGAAGATGCATCTATGCTACTTACCTCATGTCTTATATCTGAATTTGGGGGTGTTATGGGTTATGTTTCAACGCTGTTGGTGAAGAATTGTAGCATAAAACCTTAAACATGGTTAAGGGTCAGAGGTCCAAGAAAATAGGTCCAACTGTAATTAAGAAAAAATTGCTCCCAGGGAAATTTGTATTTAAAAGAAGATGCTTCTTATTCCAATGAACTGAATGACCAATGTGGAATTTCAGATGATATGACCAATGGTTGAGGGAGATTTTTTTGTTTTGTGAGGGGATATTTCCCAGTAATAATTTCTCCTAAGGTTGATTATGTACAAAAATATACCATGTTGGTATTCTTGGAATGAGTTTGGCAAGGTCACATTTTTAGTCCCTTTCCATTTTAACGAGAATGATTTCCTATTCCTTCCTAGAATCATAGAATCTTAGAGTTGGGTGGGAAGGTTTTCTAGTTTGGTCTCTACCCAAATTATAAATCCTGTCTCAAACATCCCAATTTCTATTTAAATACCCTCATGAATTAGGAACTCAATGTTCCTTAAGGCAACTCATTCTATTTTGTGGCAGCTCTGTTTGTTAACAAAAGTTTTCCTAAGGTTGAACCAAATTGGCATTGCTCTAATTTCCAGCCAGTCAATCAGTAAGCCTTTATTAAGCATTTCCTATGTACCACACATGATGCTGTGTTGGGGATACAAACAAAAGCAAAACCACAGTACCTATCCTTTAAGAGCTTACAGTCTAATGGGAGAGACTACATACAAATAACTATGTACATACAAGATGCAGTATAAGTGGAAGGTAATCTCGGCAGAGAGATACTGGCAGTGAAGTAGACATGAGGAGGAGGGCATTCCAGACGTGAAGGACCTCTCTTATCTACCTCTTTCTCTCCTGTGACACAGTCACCCAACCTCGTGCAGGCATCATCCCCTCGCTGCTGGATGATTGCAGTAGCTTGCTGGTTGGTCACTCTGCTTCAGTCCTCTTCCAGTCAAATCTATCCTGTCACATTGATCTTCCTAAAGTGCAGGTCTGACCATGTTACCCTGTCTTTTCAATAAACTGCAGTGGCTACCTGATATCTCCAAGATCAAATATAAATTTCTTTGGCTTTTAAAGCTCTTTATAACCTGGCCCCTTCCTACCTTTCTATCTTCTCACCCCACTCCCCTCCATGTACTCTGTGATCTAGTAACACTGCTCTCTTTGCTGTTCTTTGCATGGGACACTCACGTCCCAGCTCTGGACTCATGTCGGAATTCTCTATCTCCTCATCTCTGACTCTTGACTTCCTTCAAATCTCAACTAACATGCCATCCTTTGCAAGAAGCCTTTTCTGGTATGCCAGTACTTTCCTTCTGAGACTACTCCAGTTTATCCTGTATGTACCTCCTTTGTATGTAGTTGTTTGTATATTGTTTCCCCATTAGACTTTGAGCTCCTTGAGAGCATTATGGAATCCCCACCGTACCTGGCATATAGTACATATTTAATAATTGCCTTTTGATTGACTGTCCCTCTCAGTTTTGTGTCTACTTGATAAGTAGCCGGTCGGTACCTTCATTTAAGTCACTAACAAAATGTTACAAAAATAGTACCAAGGATAGAAACCTTTTGCATTCTGGGAGAGCTTTCTCTCCATGTTGACATCATCTCACTCTTTAGGTCTTTCAGCTTGTTCAAAACCAGTTTAATTTCCTTTATCTAATATCATCTATCATCTTTTCATCTTGTTCACAAAGTGAAAAATTGCCAACCACTTTGCTGAAATTTATATATATATATATATATATATATATATATATATATATATATATATATATATGTATATACACTACTTTCCCAGTCTTGAAGTTTAGCAATTATATTTAAAGTAAAAGGTAAATTAGGCAATTCAGATATGGCTTATCTTTAATAAAAGAATGATTTTTAGTAATAACATCTTCTATTAATAAGTAGTTACAAACCATCCTTTTAATTATCTGTTCTAGAATTCTGCCAGTTGTTGAAATCAAGTTCATCAGTCTGTGTGTCAAAATATTTTTCTTTCCCTTTTTGAAAATTGGTGCTTTTGCCCTTCTCCAGTCCTGTGCCATCTCTCCCTTTCTCCATGTCATTTCAAAAATCACAGTCTTTTAGTACCTTAAGATGTGGTACATCTGTGCCAGATAACTTGAATTTATTGAGGGAAACTATATGTGACTCTTATGAGCTACACACTAATCTTGAGTTTTAATTCCTTTGTTAACCTTTTTTTTTTTCTATTCTCAATTTGGAGATCATTTTTTCTTGGTAGAGAAAACAGAATCAAAGGAAGAGTTAAATAGTTTTTTTTCTTTCTCTTGTTATATTCTTCCCATCACATCAAGAAGATGTCCAAACTTTCATCAGCAATGCTAAAGTAACTATTTTATGGTATTTAACATTTGTCATAAGCTTCAGCTCGTACTTGGCTTTATTTAGCCTTCTTGATACTATTCTTTTTTTCCTTTTTAAAAAAATTTTATTTATTTATTTTTAGTTTTCAACATTCACTTTCATAAGATTTCGAGTTCCAGATTTTCTCCCCATCTCTCTACTCCCCCCGTCACCCCTGACTCCTAGAATATAAGCTCCTCAAAGACAAGGATTGTTTCATTTTGTCTTTGTATCCTTAGAGTTTAGCAGAATTCCTGGAATTGAATTGAATTGGGTATATTCTGTATCTGTCTCAATGAATTGCATGTTTATTAAACATGCATTTGGGGCTTAATGTATGTTGTATTGAAAAAATCTTCATGACTTTGTTCATACCTCTTCTGAAAAAAACAAAGGAAAAGTACTAGAGATTGCTCTTTCCTTTTCTGGGTATCCTGTAACTCCTGCCGTGCTTTTTGTTAGTATGTTATTGGGTTTGTTTTTCTTATTTGGTTTTTGGGGCTCAGGAGGAGAGATTCCTGACATTGGAGAAATTACCAGATCCTTCAGGGAGGTCATGAGCAGAAAAAGTTAAAAAAGCTCTTGTCATTTCAAAAATTTTTCTGTGACTTGTACTTCCTTATGAATGTGTGGTGGAAAGATCCATGAACTTTTGAATTCTCTTCTAATTCATTGTATGTGATCTAGATCTATTATTTTTCCTTCCTCCCTCCCTCCCTTCTTCCTTCCTTCCTTCCTTCCTTCCTTCCTTCCTTCCTTCCTTCCTTCCTTCCTTCCTTCCTTCCTTCCTTCCTTCCTTCCTTCCTTCCTTCCTTCCTTCTTCTCTTCCATTCCTACTTATTTTCTTTTCAACAAAAAGACATTAAATGCTTTTCCTTATTTTTAGTTTTCATTTAGCAGGTTAAGGAAGAAGACATATACACATTTTTTCATGTGGACTGCTTTTGTTATATTTTGTTGTGTGGTGTTTTGACTTCCTAGTCAATAAAGGCACGTCTTCATTAGAGCCACTAAAGAAATAAAATGTATGATAAATTGTATTCCTTCACTACATATTTCAAACTACTCTGGGACTAACATCTCTAAAATATGAGTTCAACTTTGCCATTTTAATTATATTATTTCTTCTGTTAGGTAAAAAGAATAAGGAAGAAGAACCTGTTGAGTCCCATGTGTATGATGATTTAAGTCTTGCAAATACAGAAATCGGAAACAATTCAGCCATTTCAAAAATCCGTATAAAAGTGTCTCCCAATGAAATTTGGGAAGATTGTAATACTGTTTTACCTTGGAATAATGTCAAGGATCAGGCACAAAGAGACAGTGCTCACATTTTGCTCAAAAGAAGAGGTATAATTTAATTCACTTTTTCAGTCTAGCCCAGTTAAAGTGAGGAAAGAGAATAGAATTGTAGACTCACAGATTGAGAAGGAACCTTAGACACCCTGTAGGCCAAACGACCCCTAAGCGGTTAAACTCAGTTAAGTTCTAACACATGACTGTTAAGTGATTCTCTGGCTGCAACTTGAAGATCCCAGTGTGGCAAGTTCTTTACCTCTCTACTTTGGGACATCTAGTTATTAGGAGGATTTCCTTATAGCATGCTGAAACTTGTCTTTCAAGTGACTTTCACTAACTTCTGCCATCATTCTTGTTCTACCATCAGAAATCTAGTTCTACCAGCCAAAGCTGCTGAAGACTAGTCTAACTTCCAAGTAATAGCTTTTTATATCTTTTTATCTTCACTCCAAGTCTTCTCTTTTCCAAGCTAAATATCTCAGGTTGCTTCAATCAATCCTCTCATGACAAGGGTTCTCACTCCCTTCACTGTGTCATCCTGATTGTCCTCCTCAAAAGCACTCCACTTGTAATTATTTTACTTAAAATATACCATCCAGAATGCAATACAGTGCTTCAGATATGTTCTAACAATGGCCAAGTGCGGTGGAACTATGATAATCTCCCTCATGGAGAATGTTATTTCTCTGTCGATGCGCTTACATTATGTTTCTTACCTGCTTTGTCATACTGCTGATTCACTGGCCTTTCATTACAACCCAGATACTTTTCACATGAACTATGGTCTAGCCATACCTCTGCTATTCTGTTCTTATGCAGTTCTTGTACCCTAGTTGGGTTTTTGTGCCCTGATAGAGAAGTTTACAATTTTCATTATTGAATGATATCTTTTATTTATTTAACCCATCATCAGCCCCTGGAGAAATCTTTTTGAATCTGAGTTCTGTCATGCACTTTATATTTTTGCATAACAAAAAATTCAGAGTTTTCAGGGAAGGAGTTGAGAGGACTCCATGACTTAAAGCTCTGCAGTAGAATTGAACCTTCCAAGAAAGAAATTCTGAAGATGCAAATAGAAGCAGTTCTGATATGGGGCAAAAAGAGGAGTTTTCTTGTTCTTTTCAGATAGCTTATTTAAACATTTAAATTTTTTTTTCCAGGATAGTTAGGTGGCACAGTTGGTAGAGCACTGGCCCTGGAGTCAGGAGGTCTTGAGTTCAAATCCAGCCTCAGACACTAACTGTGTGACCCTGGGCAAGTCACTTAACCCCAATTGCCTCCAAAAATCCAAACAAACAAGTAAATAGTATTTTATTTTTCCAGTTGCATGTAAAGACATTTTTTAATATTCATTTAAAAATTTTTTTGAGTTCCAAAATTTCTCCCACCCTCCCTCCCTGTCCTTCTCCTTCTCCTCCTCCCTTCGTAAGATGGTAAGCAAATTGGTATAAGTTATATATGTGCAATCATGTAAAACGTATTTCCATATTAGTCATGTTATGAAAGAAGAAACAGACAAAAAAACCCCATGACAAAATAAAGTGAAAAAATAGTATGCTTCAAACTGCATTCAGGTTCCATCAGTTCTTTCTCTGGATGTGGAAAGCATTTTCCATCATGAGTCCTTTGGAATTGTCTTGGATCATTGTATTACTGAGAAGAGCTAAGTCGCTTATAGTTGATCATTGTACAATGTTGCTAGTATTGTTTACACTAACTGTATATGATGTTCTCCTGGTTCTTATCACTTCATTTTGCCTTAGTTCATGTAAGTCTTTCCAGGTTTTTCTGAAATCCGACTGCTCTTCATTTCTTATAGCACGATAGCATTCCATTACATTCATGTACAACTTGTTTAGCCATTCCCCAATTGACAGGCATCCCCAAAGGGAGAATTTTCTAAAGAGACAGAGAGCTCATTGACCAATTTAGATTAAAATTTGACATGTAGGGAAGTTGGAAGTCAGGAGACTCCCTCAAACACCCTAACCCTCCCAGTTTCTCAACTTACTAATTTCCCATGACCTTCTCTTCTACTCTACCTCAGGTACACACTGGAGATGCTTATACCCTTGATCTTGCCATCACCCACAAATGTACCACTTTTATATTCATGAGTTCTGAAGTTCCTTTATCTCAACACAATCTGCTGTCTTTTCACCTCTCTCTCCATCTTACAACCCCCAAAACTCTTCTTTATTTTCACCATGACCTTTAATCCCCCATCCCTCAGTTCTTGCCCAGGCCATCGCTCCTGCACTAGTTACACTTTCCCCTCTTCCTTATCTTGATCCCATAGTGAACCAGTTCAGCTTCAAAAAAAGAACACTACTAAGTCCCTTGCCCACTTATACTGTTGAAAATCTTGTCCTACCAAGCTTCACCCCTTGATTACTCCTAGCATCCACTGCCTTGGCTCCTATACAGGTGGTGCTGAGCAAAGTTGGAGAAATTTGAAAAACCATACTGTCTTAGTTTCTCTACAATTATGTGAAATAATCTCAACTGGGCCCTCACAGCAATAACTGACTTGCTGTCTCAACAAGGAGGCTCTTCCAAACCTTTTCATCCCTCTTCATACCTTCCCTGGCCTTCCCACCACCACTGTTCTCTCAGTTGAGAACTTTGCCTTGTACTTCCCTGAAAAAATTGGAGCCATTTGCTGTGAGCTCTCCTCTCCTCTCTTTATCTCACATCTCTATGATGCTGTCTGCCACGTTCTCCTTCTTTACTCCTGTTTCACACGAAGGGGTGGCTTTTTTTCCAAAGCTAACTCTCCGTGTGCCCAAGGGATCCCATTCTATGCTCTCTTCTCGAGCAGAACGCCTCCTTTGTCATCCCCATTCTCTCACTTAGCTTCAGTCTTATGCTGTCTACTGGCTGCTTCTTTACTGCCTATAAATATGTCCATGCCTCTACCCTCCTCCAGAAACCCCTCACTTGATCCATTATTTCTGCTAGCTATCATCTTATATCTCTTCTCCCTTTTCTGGCTACACTCCTAGAGAAGGCAGTCTATAACTGGTCCCTCCATTTCTTCTTACTCCCCTCTTAACTCTCTGTAGCTTAGCTTCTGACCTCACTACTCACCTGAAATGCTCTCTAAAGTCACCAATGATTTCTTAATCACTGAATCTAATGGCTTTTTTCTCAGTCCTCATCCTTCTTGACCTCTCTGCACCCTCTTCTCCTTGATATTCTCTTCTCTCTAGGTTTTCATCACATTGCTTTCCCCTAGTTCTCCTCCTACCAGTCTGACCATTCCTTCTCAATTTTTTGTTAGGTATTCATCCAGGTCCTACCTGTTAAATGATGGATGTTCCTCAAGACCATCCTGGGCCTTCTCTTTTCTTTCAATACTACTTCACTTGAGGGGCAGCTAGGTGGCGCAGTGGATAGAGTACTGGCCCTGGAGTCAGGAGGACCTGAGTTCAAATCTGGCTTCAGACACATGATACTCACTAGCTGTGTGACCCTGGGCAAGTTACTTAACCTTGACTGCCTTGCCCCCCCCCAAAAAAATTACTATTTCACTTGATGATGTTATCAGGTCTCATGATTTCAACTATCATCTCTTTATGCAGATGATTCTCATATTTATTTGTTAAGCCCTAACATCTCTCCTGACCTCTAGTCTCATATCTCCAATTGTTCAATATTTGGAACTGGATGTTTCATAGACATTTTAAATTCAACATATCCAAAACTGAACTCTGAAATTATCTTTCCCCCTAAATGCTCCTTTACCTAACTTTCTTATTACTATGGAGGGTACCAATCAATCAGTAAACATTTATTAAGCACCTACTATGTGCTGGGCACTGTGCTAATCACTGGGGACACAAAAAGATAGAAGACAGTCCCTTGGCCTCATGGAGCTTACAATCTAAGGGAGACAATATGCAAACAATTTTACATACAAGCTGTATACGGGATAAATAATAATTAACAGAGAGAAAGCACTAGAATTAAGAGAGGCTGGGAAACACTTTCAGTAAATGGACTTAAAGGAATCCAGGGAGGATGGTAGGTAGAGCAGAGGAGGGAGAATGTTCCAGGCATGAGGGGCAGCCAGACAACAAGCATGCCTGGAGCCAAGAGATGGAATGTCTTATTCATGGAACAGAACAGCCCCAGGAGGCCAGTGTTACTGGATCAAAGAGGGAGGCATAAGAAGACTGGAAAAGTAGTAAGGGGCTAGGTTATGAAGAGCTTTGGATGCCAAACAGAGCAATTTGTATACGAAATAGGAGGCAACAGAAAGCCCCTGGAGTTTATTGAGTAGGAGAATGACATGATTGGACCTGTACTTTAGGAAAATTACTGTAGTGGCTGAATGAAGAATGGACTGGAGTTGGGAGAGACTTGAGGCAAACAGACCAAGCAGCCAGTATTCAAGATGTGCGGTGATGAGGGGCTGTACTAGAGTAACGGCAGCATCAGAGGAGAGAAGGGGCATATTTAAGAGATGTTGCAAAGTTGAAATTGGCAGACCTTGGTAACAGCTTGAATGGGGGGGGGGAGCCAGTATTTTAGTTATATGTTGTAAAGTTTCTAATGTAATTCCCAATCATTTTTGATCTCTAGAGGCCAAAACTATATTCATTTTTAATGTCAAGGGCTTTTTCTTGGGGCTTTTTGTTGGCCTGAGGCTGAGGGTAGCTCTGAGGTTTAGAGTTTCCCAGATTTTTGCTATAAATATTTTGGTGTGTACAGAACCTCTCTATTTTGTCAATGATCTCCTTGGGAATATCTGAGTTAACCTCTATAGGCATTTAAGTCACTTTCTTTGCATAATTACAAACTGCTTTCCAGATTGGTTGGGCCAATTTACAGCTCTATCAATATATAATACACACCAAATAGTGTGCCTGTCTGTCCACAATCTCCCCAACATTGACTATTCCCATCTTTTGTCATCTTTGCCAATTTTGTGGGCATAAGGCAAACCCTCAGAGTTGTTTTTATTTGCACTTCTCTTCTCATTAATGATTTGGAGTATTCTTTCATATGATAATTAATAGTTTGCACATCTTCTTTTGAAAACTGTTTATATTCTTGAACCATTTGTCTATTGGATGGCTTCTGGTGTTAGATATTTCTGTTAGCTGTCTATTTATCTTATATATCAGATATATTTGAAACAGATTATTTTTCCTATCAACACCCTGTTATCCAAGTTGCATTTGTTTTATTCATGCAAGAGCATTTCAATTTCATGGAATCAAAATTATATTACTTATCTTTTGTAATTGCCTCTTTCCCTTGCTTGGTTAAGAATCCATCTAGAACTCTTAGCTGTGAAAGGTATATGGCTTACTTCTCTTATAATTTTTATATGATCTTTAATTTTCATGTCATGTATTCATTTAGAATTTTCTATAGAACATGGTGAAATGTTGGTCTAAACAAAATTTTTATAAGACATTTTCCAAATTTCCCAGCAATTCTTGTCAAGTAGGGATTTTTTTCTGGGTAATTTATGTTTTCAGATTTATTGAACACTGGGTTATTGTAATCAGTTATTTCTGATCATCCTTATTTAGTCTATTCCATTGATCTATTTGTCTATTTTTAAACAAGTACCAAATATTTTCGATGATTACTGTTTTATATCATAGTATGAGCTCTAAGCGTGCTATTCCACCTTCATTTTTTTCCTGTTTCATTATTTCTCTTGATATTTTAGACCTTTTGTTTCTCCAAGTAGATTTTGTTATTATTTTATTATTTAACTTTGTAAAGTTTCCCTGTGGTAGTTTGATTAGCATAGCACTAAATATGTAAAGTTAATTTGGTAGCATTGTCATTTTTATTATATTGACAAGACCTAGCCATAATGTTTAAGTTATTCTTTTTTTTTCTCTAAAGAGTGCTTTGCAACTGTGTCTATGTGACCTTTGGTAGATTGTCTCCCAGATACTGTATTCATTTTGTACTTATTTTGAATGTTACCTCCCTTTCTATTATTGCTTCCCAACTTTTGTTATGACTATGTAAAAATACTCTTGATTCTTGTGGTTTTATTTTACAAAATAATTTTTTACCACAAGTCTATAGCCTTAAATTTTACTGAAGCTGTTGTCTCAGATTACTTAGGATTTCCTAAGTAAACCATCATATATGTCATAGCAAAAAAAGCATAACTTTGTCTCGTTTGTCTATTTTTATGAATTTAATTTCTTTCTCTTGTCTTCCTGCTATTGTCAGCATTTCTAGACACATTCCAAATAATAGAAGGGGAAGAAGAGCATCCTTGCTTCACTTTTATATTTTTTTTTTTAGGAAAGCTAGTGTTTTACTATTGAATACATTAGCTTTTGATTCCATATAGATACTTTTTTTCATATTAAAAACATCCCTCTGTGTTTATACTTTGTAGGTTTTGTTTTTTAAGCAAAAATGGGTGTTGTGCTTAGATAAAAACTTTTCTGCATCAATCAATATAATCATGTGAATTTATTTTTAATTTGGTTAATTATGTTAATTGTTTTCCTAACATTGAAAATTCTTGCTTTAAATCCAACCTAATTAGAGTGAATGATTTTTTTGGATAAATTTCTGTAGCCTTTTTGCTAGAATTCTATTTAAAAATTTTTAATTGACTGGTCTGTAATTCTCTTTTTTTGCTTTATCCTTCCCTGTTTTAGGAATTAGGACTGTATTTGTCTGATAAAAGGAGTTTTTCTCAATTTTGAGAATAATTTATATCGTATTTGTATTAATTATTTTTAAAAGTTTGATAGAATTCTCCTGTAAATCCATCTAGACCAAAGATTTTTCTTTTGATAGTTTCTTTATAACTAGTTCAATTTCCTCTTCTGCAATTGGATTATTTAAGTTCTTTTGGGTATTCTATTAATCTGGATATTTTATATCTTTTAGAAATAATCCTCTTAATTTTAAATTCTTATTTTTGTTAGCATAACTATGGTTTTGATCAGTTGGTTCTTATATACATTTCTATTTGGAGCGGGTTTGTTGTGATTTTCACTTTGTCATATTTTATTTTGTTATTTTGATTTCATTTCTGTCATACCTCTTGTAGTATTTTGCAATTGACCTTGTACTTTAAACCAGTGTTATCTGTGGCTACCAAGTGTTTGCTGGCTGTGATGGTTTCTGAACTTTTTCATCACTTTCTTTGTATCAATTTTTATATTGGCTAAGTTTCTCTAGGAAGTCACTGTCTTTACTTTTGTCTACTTGTCAACTTTTAAAAACAGATTGAGTTAAAATTTATATAATTATACATAGTGTTTTTTTCATTTTTACCCTTTCTTTTAATTTGGTGTTTACTTTGACTTTGTCCTAACAAGCTGTTGATGTGATTGTGCTGATAGTGGCAGCTGATTCTGAACGATTGCTACGTCTATAATGAATCACTTCCTGTCTGTTAGAATATGATCAGTTTTTCAAATGTCATTAAGTGTTCACTATGTCCAACATATTCCAACCCTCTTCTTGAAAAAGTAGTCATGATGTTTAGGTAGGTGTCTTATGAGTAGTCTACTCTTTGACTTCTTTTATACCAAATTATATTTTCCAATATGGTTTTAACTGTCCTCCCTAAGCCAGATTTCACATTCACTTTACCCTATTAAAGTATAAGCTTACTTATTTGGAAGATGATATGAAATTCTTTCCTCGACAATTAATTCACAATCTACAATTAATGTTGTCACATAAACTTAAATTATCTTCATTATAGCCTTATGCATTTGCTTATCATATGATCACAAAGCAAATATCTCATGAAAAGTTGTTTCTATTCGTCTCTAGGTGCACAATAATAACTCAAATTTATATAGAACTTTAAGGTTTACCAAGGCCTTTCTTTATAAGCCCTTTCCTATGTGAGGAAAGTAATATGAATATTACTGCACTGATTTTATAATTTTATGGTTGATGAAACTGATTCTCCTGACTTCAGGTCCAGTACTCTGTACTACCCCATGGTAACCCTAAACCAACACCATGATTTCCTTATCTGTCTCTCCAGCAAGAACTTGAGAGCCATTCTTATATTTATATTCTTATGTTCTGCTTCTTTGCATATTTTTGTTTCACTTTTAGCTAGCATATCAAGATAGATGTGATTTGGTTTCTCTTATAGTATATTATTTTATTGGTGGTTAGACAAAGGTCATACGTTGAAAATGCTACTGGTTACAACGTTTGTAGATGGTCTAAGAATTTTATGATTATTAGTTCTCCTGGTTCTTTTCCTGCTCGTTTCTCATCTTTGCAGAAACAACTATCTTTGTTTTTGTCCATTTTGGGGATTGATAAGCCAATGTTCCATTTTTTTGGTGGCTGCTGTCATATGGAGATGAACTTTTCCACCATCAGATAGGCTCGTCCCTAGATACATGTATCAAGAAATGTGTGCATTTTACCTGTCATCTTTTAAACCTTTCCTACATGGCTAAAACCTGCCAGAGTTTTTCCTTCACTAGCATGGGCTTAAAAAAACCCCACAGTCACTTCTCCATTATGAAGCCTCAAAGTGGGCCTTAATGGAGCCTTTTAAAATGTTAATGCCTTAAAGTTAAGTTTTGTAGCTTTCTAGTATGTAAGAATTCTGTTCAAGTGAAAAGAGATTTTAAAAGTAAAAGCATCTATGAAAATACATCTGATATGACTTACTCTAAAAGCATACTTTGTACACAGATTGGACAGGGTTATGGACAGGTATGTGAATGCTTACAGGCAAAGTTGTATTGAATAAATTCTAATTATTCTTAATTTTATTACATGCGACTGAAAAATCAACATTGGTTGGTATGAACTTTGGGGGGAAAAAAGTCAGCCTAAAAGACAACAAGATTAAAAAGTACCGAGCAAGAAAGCATGGATTTCTAGAAGCATTGGACGATAAACGTATGTTACGTGGCCAAAAAAAAAGGTAATTGTCGTGCACTTTAATTATAAATTTTATAGCAGTAGCTAATCCAAGAGAAGTAAAGAGTACTGTTTTAAGAGATTCAAGCTAGAACAAATATGTGAGAGGGGAAAAAAACCCTTTTAGACATACTTTTGTCAAACTTACCTTCACACCGATTCATTGTCAGCCTTCACAATAAGGGACAATATTTCTGCTCTAGTTTTCCTATGTCACAAGGGTTAGCCCGGTAACAGAAAAGTTTCTGTAGCTAGGAGGATTAATTAGCAAATTCATTAAGGATCTGTTTATTCTTTTCAATTCTACTTATTTGTTTGAATTAATCTCCTCATCCTGCAGTAGAACACTTAGCATCCATCAATTTAAGAAAAAAAAACAACAAATCAGATCTCATAGCAGGGTCCAACGTTTAGGCAACACATTCATACATTGTCATTTATAATCAAAGCAAAGGGGCTTCGATGATTATCCTTAACAGTAGAATCATGAATAGAAGCCTGATTCATAAAATTGTTCATTGTTCTTTTCATGTTGTGACTATTAATGAATATCTAGGCTTACCTATAATACCTATATTTAATTTGACTTTACTTTGGATTAATACCGAATGTAAAGTGAGATTATGTATTAGAGCCCTTTGTGGACCTTAAAATGCTATATAAGTGTCAGATGATATTATTGTGTTGATCATGAGAAAGGAACACATCACTTTATGAACAAATTCCCTTTATTTGTATTATATATGAATATTTTCTGAAAATTATGAAGAACAGATTTTTTTAAATTAAAAAAACTATTAATAAACCACTTTTTGACAAATTTTTCCAAATATATATTATTTCCTTCAGCCAATTCCTGTGGGACAACGGAGACAAGATCACTGGTGCCAGTAGAAGAAAGGAAGATCTGGTATGATTTAATACTTTTTAAAAATATGACAGACTATTGCAATGATTATGTTAAAATTCATGCAGCATTGCGGATTAAAATTTCCATTTCTACTAATAAAACACTTCTAGATTCATTATTGTTAATATGAACTGAATTCTCTCTTCTGCGTTTGGGAATAAACAAACAACATGTACTGATGAAAACAGAGGTAAAAACCATTCTTACCAAATCCCTTTTGAATTCTCTGCTCAAACCATCTTATCCTTAGTTTAAAGTGAAAATCACTTTCTTTGGACTGTCAGTTTTTGTGGTTACCAAGAATTCTATATAACATTATCATCATTAATAAATGAAAGGATACATTTCCTTTCAACAAAGTCTTCCAGGTTCTGGTGACGTTAAAAAAAAACTCTCAGTTTTTCGTGGCCCTGGGTCCGGAGTGGTAGTAATAAAGAAGGGGAGGCAGGGCTGCTCCTTCATGTCCGTATCTTTGTAGGTGGGCTGTGGTCTGGCTGGAGGGAGGGCTACAGACTCAAGGCAGAATAACGACAATAACCACATAAGCTGACATTTATAAAGTTCTTTAAAATTTATGAAATAATTGGCCTACATTATCTCCAGCTTGTACAAGCTGGTCACTTAGTTAGGGGGAACATGCTTCAGAGGATGGGGAGGAAAGAGGGAGGAGTATGTCCCAATACTGCTTGACAAGAAAGGCATCTACCTTACAAAACAAATACCTGTGTCTTTATTACATTCCATCTTCTAGCAAAGTTTATGATAATAAAATATATCATTTCACTATGTCTTTTGCATTAGTAAAGGTCTTATACTGTAGTTTACTTTAAAAACAACATAAGAAACTGACATTGAGAAGGCTACTAAGTAAGTGGGACGCTATACAGACCCTCCTGCTGCTGAGCCAGTTTTGGCCATACCAGATCGGGGCTTACACCATCAGTATGTATTGTGTAGTCTATGCCTAGGAGTAAAGAGGGAGACTGTACCCAGACGACATGGCTTGACCTATGACACTAATCAGCAAGTCTCTTACTAAATGCTTACTGTGTTCCAGGCACTCCTCGAGGTGCTGAGGATACAGATACAAAAGTGAAACGGTCTGTGTCCTTCAGGAGTCTATATTCTGACAGGGAGACAACCTGCACATCGATAGGTGTAAATAAACATTTATGAACCAAACACAAAGTAATCCAGTTGGGGGAGCACCAGCATTTAGAGGGGTTGGGAAAGGCTTCACAGAAAAGGTACTACTCTAATTGAGACTTTTTTTTTAGGCAGTTGGGGTTAAGTGATTTGCCCAGGGTCACACAGCTAGTAAGTGTCAAGTGTTTGGTCTGAGGCCGGATTTGAACTCAGGTCCTCCTGACTTCAGGGCTGGTGCTCTATCCACTGCGCCACCTAGCTGCCCCTCTAATTGAGACTTAAAGGAAATCCAGTATTCCCAGACCCAGAGGTGAGCACAGATAACATTCAGGTCATGGGGACAAGTATAAAGTCATAGAAATAAAGATGGTGTCATGTGCAAAGAAAAGTGAGCAGCCCAGCCTGAGTAGACTGTAGAGTACACGGAGTATAGGAATGTATATCATGAGACTAGACAGGTAAGAAGGGGTCAGGTTGTGAGAGTTGTAAATGTCAAACCAAAGATCACATCAAAATGATACTTCATCCTAGAGGTTCATAGGGAACCAATGGAATTCCTGGAAGGATGCCATGGTCAGACTCATCTATGTCTTAGGAAAATCATTTGGCAGCATATAGGGACTCGATAGGAGTAAGGAATGGTCAGAGGCAGGGAGACCAGTTAAGAGGCTATTGTAATAGTCTAGGCAAGAAGTAATAAAGGCTCCAATTAGAGTAGTGTCTGGGTGAATGGAGACAGTAGGCCACAGGTAAGAGATGCTGTGAGATCAAAATGATAAGACTTGGCAACTGATTGAATATGTGAGCTCAGTCAGACTGAGGAGTTTAGGCTGTGAAAATGAATGAAAAGCCATTGATACTTTAAGAGGGATGTTTTTTGGGAAAAAAATATTAGTTTTGTTTGGGACATGTTGAGTTTGAGATACCTGTGGGATATTTAGTTCAAAATGCTCAATAGTTCATTGGTGATGAAGAACTAGAGATCAGAAGAGAAACAAGAGCTGGATAAATAGATGTAGGAGTATCTGTACAGAAATGATTATTGAAGCCATAGGAGCTGGAGAGAGAGAGAGAGAGAGAGAGAGAGAGAGAGAGAGAGAGAGAGAGAGAGAGAGAGAGAGAGAGAGAGAGAGAGTACAGAGTGAAAAGAAAGTCTTCAGGTTCACCCACAGGTGAAGGGAGGACCATGGATGGTGATCCAGCGAAGAAGATTAAGAAGGAACAGAAAAGTGAGAGGAGAACCAAGAAAGATCAGTGTCATGAAAACTGAGAGAGGAGAAGGTATCAAGGAGGAGAAGATGGTCACCATCCAATTCTACAGAGAAGTCAAGAAGGGTAGGGGCTGAGGAAAGGCCATTAAAAGATCCTTGGCAACTTTGGAGAGAGCAATTTCAGTTGAGTAATGAAGTTGGAAGTTAGATTGAAGAGGGCTCGAAGAGAATGAGAGGATAGGAAATGGAGGCAAAGAGTTCAGACGTCTTTTTGAAGAAGTTCAGCTTACATAGGAATGGACACAGGATTATAGGTATGATAATAACAGGATCTACTGAGCTACTGTTTTTTAGGATGAAGGAGATTTAGGTGTGTTTGTAGGTGATGGGGAAGGAACTATCAGTTAGCAAGAGATCAGAGATGGTGGGGGATGATGGCAAGGGCAATAGGCTAGAGATCAAAGTGGAAGAGACTAAGGTGAGAGCCATCTCTTTTTTTTTTTTCAGAGAATAGAATGAAAGTGGAGATAGTGTGGGATAATATGAAGGAGTTTATGTGATGAGAAGGGGGAAATGGGAAGCTCACAGAGAATGGCCTCACCTTTCTTGGTAAAATATGAGGTAAAGTTTTCAAGTAAGAGGATGGGAGGAGGGTGATTTAAGGTTCCTGAGAAAAGAGGAAGTTTGGGGTAGCTAGGTGGCTCAGTGGATAGAGCACCGGCCCTGAAGTCAGGGGGACCTGAGTTCAAATCCAGCCTCAGACCAAACACTTGACACTTACTAGCTGTGTGACCATGGGCAAGTCACTTAACCCCGATTGCCTCATCCCCCTCCAAAAAAAAAAGCAAAAAAAAGGGGGGGCATCTAGGTGGCTCACTTAACCCCAATTGCCTTGGAAAAAAAAACAGAAGGAAGTTTGGGAGAGCATTGGTGATTGGGATAGAGAATTAATTAAGGGAGGGGTAACAGTAAGGGAGGTACCTTGCTACAATGAGGGCTGCAGCTGAGATTAGTTACCATGAATAGGTAATGGCCAATACCCTCTCCTGATTCCCTTCAGCTTCATTCAGCAGTATGTATGTGGTAGCAGAGAAAATAGATCAGTTAATTAGTCACCAAAATTTGGATTTGGCAAAACATGAGCAAGGCCAGGATAAGAGAGCAAGGATTTCAAGAGTGGAGGAGAATGAAAAGTTGAACTGCTGACTCTGGGGTCAGGAGTCCAGCCAGAGCTGTTTAATGGCATGGTAAGCGCTGAGGGCTGGAGGGCTTGAGAGTCAGAGGAGACAAAGAATGGGCTTATAAGGAGTAGAGCTTAGGGAAAGACAGAATAACAGGTTTTGGTTCTTGGTCAAGGTTCTTGGTCAAGGAATTGAAACACTTGTGAGTGATGGCAAGATCAAGGACACGACCTTCCTGAAGTGGAAGAGATGTCACAAGAGGTGAGAAATTAGAAGGGTAGGATGCTTGAGCAAATATCTATCTGTCCATCCATCCATCCATCCAGCATCTATCTATCTATCTATCTATCTATCTATCTATCTATCTATCTATCTATCTATCTATCTATCTATCTATCTAATAAGTCCCATAATAGAGGAGCAGGAGTTGGGTCACAAAAGGAGACTCTGAGTCAGGACTAGTGAACCCCATGAGAAAGGAAGAAGAATATCTCGGGAACTGATCGATAATAGCTACAAGGGTCTGGACTGAGTGGACAATTTGGATAGAATGAACCTCAGAGGAAGGGAAATTGCTGAGTGATGCCATCAGAGAGAGAATCTAGAAGTGACAATGGGGAGGTTTTTAACTCTTCTTCCAGTACTAATGAGTCAGGTACAACTATCACTAACAAGAAGAGTCCAGGATTCATTGTGACGTGGGGGAAGCAGGATTTTTGTGAGTGCTAGAAAATGGGAGAAGCATGAGGAAAAAAAAAGGGTCTAAATTGAATAGAAGTTTGTTAATTATGGGATAGGAGTCATAAAGGGCACTGAGGAAGGGACAGCAGGTTTCTAGTGGAGCATTAAATGGATAAAGATGTTGGATGAGAATGAGAATAGGAAATAAGATTTGAGGGTGAGGATGCTTTACTCTTAGTCAATAAGGGGTTCATTATCACATTTATAAACCAATTTAGATGCATATCTCTTCCTTCCCCTTGGAAATAAGCTACTTGAGGGCAGGGACTATTTTTGTACTTTTTAAAAAATAGCTATCACTTAACCCAGTGCCTGGCACATATAATAGTAAGCATTTAATAAATGCTTGTTGATTGATGCCAACCATGTTATAAAGATGTTTTTATTAGATTAACTCTTAACTTTAACTTTATTCCATACCCTTACTTTATTGTTTCCATAGATATAATTGTCTTAACAGAAACAACATTTAAAAACTGAATTTTCTGTTTCCACTCCTCTGCTTGGAAATTTATATTTTTTTGTTGCATTATAACTTTTGAAGAAGTTGGCTGATTTTGACCAAATTTGATATGCTTCCAAAGAGTGACCAAGCTATACCATAAGCTTAGAACAGTCAGTCAGTATTAATCACCTATATGCCAAGCACTGTGCCAAGCTCTGGATCAATCTGTCACCTTGAAAGTAAAAGTTTTTGAATGGGCATATATTTTATGGCAGC